GTTAATGAAGTGACTCTCCTAGGGGTGGAATGCACACCCTCCAATTGATCTTTCTTCTCTTTTTCAAATGTCAACAAGCATGAAATACAAATATCTATAGTGCATCAAATCAACTGCAAACTCTCCAGGATTCTCAGATGCACTACTGTGACTTTTCCCCACAACACACTTATACTGTTCATCTTATACTGTCTGAGTTACAAACCTCAAAGCTTGGGGAATTATTATTTCATAGCAACAACATATTGTACTGAATCATCTCTCTTGCAACTGAAATTATTTGGTGGAAGTTTGGTCTTCAGTAAGGAACTGACTCATTTGCTTTGCAAAAGACTTATTTCCAATGGGGATAAAAATAGCCAGAACTGATTTGACTACATGAATCAGCATACCAACCTGCATGTTTGGATTCTCATTGAAATACTTGTCTGTTTCCTTCTCTCATCTCTTTCTATCAACATGTAAGGATTATTTTATATGAACAAGTATTTGGTGACTAAGTAGCTTTAGAAACTGTCATATGCATCATAATTAATCTCAACACCCCAGATTACAAAAGCATTGTAGCAAATTGATAAACTGCTTGATTGATTTGTTATTTAATTATTACAATCTTTGGGTGGATATATATATATATATATATATATATATATATATATATATATACACACACACACACACACACACACACACACACACACACATATATACACCATCTTCAATCTGAATGGGGTTACATTCACAACATGAATTAAAATGAGGCACATGGAGTAAAATTAGAAGTAAAAGATCAAAAAGAAATATGCTACTGTTTGAAAACTTTAAATATATTTATATTAAAACAATATAATATAAAATAATTTAAAACCATGATAAGAATAATAAAAGCATCCCTGATCCATTGAAGAGCTGTGCCCAAAGCCATTAAAGGGTTGTCTATGCTTGCCATATATCCCAAAGTGGACCACAGATTGCTCCAATATTATTGTCCACACAATGTCCAGGAAGTTCCAGTCCTCGGTGTGAGGCAAACCAGGTTAAACTAGTTAAACCCTATGTTAAGCAAAGTGAGGAATGCTTTGACGTTTCAGTGAAACTAGGGAACTGCTGCACTTTGAGCCAAGAGTGTGGACAGCACGACTGACTCCAGAATGGATTGATCTGCTGGCCATTTGTGCTGGCACCACCATCCCATTTTCCCTATGCTTGGATCAAGTCCATGCCGCCCCTGCCACCTCAACAGGCAAATGGCCACAAAACACAAGAGAGTTCCTGGCCATAACCATGCACCTTTGCTGATGTCAGCAAATGAACCTGGGGATGGCCAGGAACACTGTAGACTTCAGTGATAAGGACTGAAAAGGTAAGGTCACAATCTAGTGGTGTCTGACTTTTTAGCTTGTCTGGACTGGTTGGCAGCTGGAGTGTGAGGTGACTGCTGAGGCCAGCCTGAAATATTGCTGCTTCAGAGTGGGTCCAGATTTTGGAGTGAATGTAGATGAGCCCCAAGTCACCAATACTTGTTCATGTTGGTACTAGTAGAAAGAGAGCAAGGAAAGTAAATGCCTAACATCTCATATCAGAGAGAGTCCCACAACCTAGAGGAAGCTGAGATTGCCCTCTACGTATCCTTACCAAAAACACATCTGGATATTACCATTGTCACCATATTTGCACCAATATCATCTTTGCATTTGGGAAGAAGATATACAGAACCAAACTCTAACATAACTAGTAGACCACAAGCAAAAGATGAATCAACAGTGTGATGTAGCAACATCAACATAAAGCCTATGTACTTCTAATCTTCATCAATAGAAATGAGAGAAGGAAGCAGTAGTGCCAATCAATTGTGCTTTGGTCAGACCTCCCTTAGAACATTGTGTCCAGTTCTTGGGATTGCAGTTTAACAAGGATATTGACAAGCCTGAAAGTGCAACTAAGATTGCAAAAAGTTTGGATGTCAAGATTTATGAGGACTGACTTGAGAAGTTGGATTTATTAAGCTTGTAGTAAAGACATGAGATGTGATATGATAGCTGTTTCTAAATATCTCTTAAGGTATCGCTTAGAACAGGTATGGACAAACTTTGGCCCTCCAGGTGTTTTGGACTTCAACTCCCACAATTTCTAACAGCCTACTGGCTGTTAGGAATTATGGGAGTTGATGTCCAAAACACCTGGAGGGCCAAAGTTTGCCCATGCCTGACTTCAAAGGTGGGACAGATCCATCTGACACTATAACATGAATCAATGGATTTAGATTACAGCAAAAGAAGTTCCACTGAAATATTATGACAAGCTTGTTCATTGTAAGAGCTGTAAATAAGGATGATTAATTACTTTTAAAATAGTCTTTGAACTAGTGGTTCTCAACCTGTGGGTCCCCAGGTGTTTTGGCCCACAACTCCAGAAATCTCAGTCAGCTTACCAGCTGTTAGGATTTCTGGGAGTTGAAGGCCAAAATGTCTGGGGACCCACAGGTTGAGAACCACTGCTTTAAACAGAGGTTGGACAGACATCTTTCAGGAGTGATTCAGATGTGTATTCCAGCATGGTAGGGAATTGGATTAGATATTCCATGTGGTCATTTCCACTTGTACAATTTCTGACTTTAGCAAATGTGGGGAAAACATAGGTCATTCTTTGATATAGGCTTATTTTGATATACAGATAAAATAGTAGGAAGTAAGACTTCCTTTGTAGAAAGGTGGGAAAAAAACTCAATAACCTCCTTTGCTGCATTTTCATTCTGTACCATTTCCAGCTAGTCTTCCCTATAGATATGAAGCCCAAGCTTAGAAAACGTATAGAGTGAGGGAAGGGCTCCATCTCCCAGAATCCTCTCACCAGTTTGCCTGGGAAATTCTGCGAGATGTCACAATGCAAATAACTTTTCCAAGCTCTGCATGAGGATATTTCAGACTCCTTATGAACAATCAGTGTATGAGGTTGTTAAAGCAATGCTTTCAAAATCCGAAAAATCATTTAAAGTAATATAAAATGGCAGGCACTACTGCTGAAATAGAAAATAGTGTTTTATGTCTTTGTGGAATAAAATGATACATCCTTTCCAAAGTTGCATGAAAACTAATAACCAAGCTGTGCTGTGTTAGCAGCAACTCTGAAAAGATCATTTAAGAACATTATGGAAAATGATATTTGATTCAAGTATGTGGGATCTTCAGGCTGTTAATTTTTTTTTTGTTAGTTTTGCTTTGATCTTCTTGTCAGAATAAAAGTACCATAGATCTATTTTTCCTGTACTGCTGATAAGAGGATAGTGGGAAGTTTTTTTTCAAATAAAACAATAAACTACACTTCTTAATAGTGTTGGAAAATAATTTTCTTGGAGTTCAAGATGTTTACATCACTCACATCTCTCAAGACTTGTCATGAGAAAAGGCACGTCTTCTCTCAGACTTCCTTACATTTCTGAGGTGGTCTGCTCTAAAGAAACAAAACATGCCTCCAAGTCAAGAACTATATATTTTAAAAACACAAACAGCTAAAATGGTGCACCAATGAAAAATATGCAGATACACATTTTGGTCTAAGAGCTAATGGAATATAGTGGTTTGAGAGTTGGATTAGGATTCTGGATTTATTTATCGTATCAGAAGCGAACTGAGGGTACAGTTGTAATGTGTTAAAAAACCCCACAAAGTTTAAAAAACTTGGCATTATACTAAATGTCTTTTGACCAGTAGTTGGCCACTTGGAGTGCCTCTGGTGTTGCTATAAGGAGGTCTTTATGCACGTGGCAGGGCTCAGAATGTATTGTAATCGGTGGTCCACACTCACATGTTGTGGACTCCACTTTGAAGCCCCATTTCTTAAGGTTGGCTCTGCATCTCGTGGTGCCAGAGGACACTCTGTTCAGTGCCTTCCAAGTTGTCCAGTCTTCTGTGTGCCCAGGAAGAAGTCTCTCATTCGGCATCAGCCATGGCTTGAGGTTCCTGCCACTTTTGGACTCTCACTAATGAGCTGTTCTTGCAAGTAGCTCTGTTGATCTTAGAAAACTATTTCTTGACTTAAGGCATTGGCGTGCTGGCTGATATCTGAACAGTGGATGGGCCAAATATGCCAATGCATTGGTCCTTTCATTACTGGCGGCTACTTCCTGGCAGATATCAGGTGGTGCAATATCGGCTAAACAGTAATACCAGCTAAACATACTATTTAGGATTCTGGATGATCAGAGTTTAAATCTCTGTTCAGGTGTGGAAATCCAGTGGCTGATTGTGAGCAAGTCAGCCTCACAGGAAGACAATCTTGCCAAGAAAAACCTATGATATGTTCGCCATGAGGCAGAGATGACTTAAAGGCAAGTAAAAACAAATATTTTGGTCAACTGAATATACAATATATGTACAAAATGTATACATTTGGAAAATGCATACAAACTCAGTTCTTTATTAAAAAGCACATGCAAAAAATGCATACAAATGCATTGCTCACTTAGGAAGAAGAACCGACATCTCTCAATGGCATGCATACAAAGCAAAGGACAGAGATGAAGCTTTAATGAAAGGTAACAAAGTTGAAACTGAGAGTTTTTACCATATCCTAACTCTTACTAAGAACAACTGCATGTTCATAAATCCATGTTTCTGAGATTTACACAAGGCAGGTCCTAGCAACCCAGAAAGCCATATGTTACAAAGACTGAGTAAGCCAATATTTAAAGTAGATTATCAAAGAAAATCAAACATACCTGCTATACTGTGAACAGAATGGCATCACGTATTGAAAATGCTTTGAGACTACGGTTTTAAATAATAAAAAGAGTCAGATGATGTTAGGATAATGACTAACATCTTTTATTTCCCCCGAGGGGCTTTTTTACTCATTCATTTTCATGTAATTTAACTTTAACATATTTTAATTAAAAAGTTACATATAATGTCCATCTGTTTTATTTTTGCTATGACACTTACATTTTAGTATATGCTTGGAGAGAACAAAATGACACTACTATAACATACTATGTTACATACCCGAAAATGGAAAATCCCTGCATAACTGTCTTCGAATCCTTGGTCCTTTGGAATAACATTTTTCAGGAACCGCTGTTGCCTGGTCAAAGAACCCAGGGCAGCTAGGACCCAACAATCACCTTGAAGAAGGAAAGAAATAAATTGTCATTGACTGCACAACATATTTTACATCATTTACTGGAATATAAAGAATATAGGAAAGTATACTACAAATAGTTCAATATTTTTTTATTTATTTATTTATTATTTAAACTTATATGCCGCCACTCCCCTGGGGCTCGGAGCGGCTTACAAGAATAGCTAAAATCTAACAAAGTTTAAAAGCAATTTAAAACATTTAAAAACAACAGTATCAAACATTAAAAGCCTGTCGAAACAGGTATGTCTTACATGCCCTGCGGAAAGCTGGTAAGTCCCGCAAGGCATGGACTTCAGGTGGCAGAGTATTCCAGACTGATGGTGCCACTGCTGTGAAGGCTCTGCGTCTGGTTGCCGTTAGACGCAAGGTCTTGACACTGGGGACTTCCAATAGATCTTGGTCCTCAGAACGGAGGGATCTCTGGGGTTGGTAGGGGGTGAGACGATCCCTCAGATACATTGGCCCCAGACCATGCAAGGCCTTAAAGGTGAGTACCATCACTTTGAAAGTGATCCGGTGCTCAATTGGTAACCAATGCAGCTGTAGTAAGATTGGTGTTATGTGGCGTCTCATCGGAATTCCCGCAAGAAGCCGAGCAGCTGCATTTTGTACCAACTTGAGCTTCCGAATCACCGACAGAGGAAGGCCAATGTAGAGGGCGTTACAGTAGTCCAGTCTTGAGATGACCGTAGCCTGGATCACCATAGCTAGGTCGTCCCTGGACAGGTAGGGGGCCAGCCGTCTAGCCTGCCGCAGGTGAAAGAAGGCGGTTCTGCTCACGACGGAGACCTGGGCCTCCATTATCAGCAGGGGGTCCAAAAGGACTCCCAGACTCTTTACCAATGATGACGGGCGTAACGCCTCACCATCCAGGGTGGGCAGATGGATGTCCCCACTACCCGGTCCACCCAGCCATAGGATCTCCGTCTTTGCTGGATTCACCCTCAACCTGCTGGCACGCAGCCATCCAGTAACGGCCTCGAGGAACTGATGGAAACAATCGGGTACAGAGTCCGGTCGGCCTTCCATCTTCAGCACCAGCTGAGTGTCATCAGCATACTGATAACACTCAAGCCCAAAACCTCGAACCAGCTGAGCAAGTGGTCGCATATAGATGTTGAACAACAGAGGGGAGAGAATGGCCCCCTGAGGAACACCACAAGATAGAGAGGACCTCTCAGAGACAAGGCCTCCCCTCTCCACTGGCTGTCCACAGTTGTGAAGAAAGGAGGACAGCCAGTTTAAAGCTGTCCCCCTGATTCCAGCAACAGCAAGGCGGTGGGTCAAGAGATTGTGGTCGACTGTGTCAAATGCTGCTGTGAGATCCAATAGCACAAGCAGCGCTGACCCACCCTGGGATGGATCCCAGGATCCCAGGATGGATCCAAATTTAGACAGATGCAACTAGCCTGGTAAAATTAGGTTTCATTTTCCTCTCTTCATGACCCTCTTGTCCCTTGAAAGTGCCACAGAGTGTCAGAAAAACCTGTTGAGTATGGGAGAGATCTCTGAAAATCAGATGACAGAATCGTGTGCAAGTGTGTAGCTATAAGTGTGGGGGAGGGGATGAAATTAGGGGATTGCCCTGTAAAAAAATCTCCCCAAAGGAATTATAGTATTGCAAAGTTGGAAATGGTGTTGTGGGCCACCAAGTCCAACCCATGTTTCATGCAGGATTTCTGACTGAAGTGTCCTCAGCAGATACCTATCCAGCCTCTTTTTAGGATGTCCAGAAAAGGAGACCTCACCATCTATCGAGCCCAGTGATTCTCAACCCGTGGGTCCCTAGGTGTTTTGGCCTACAATTCCCAGAAATCTCCCAGCCAGTTTACAGCTGTTAGGATTTCTGAGAGCTGAAGTCCAAAATACCTGGGGACCCACAGGTTGAGAACCACTGATCCATTGTCAATTGTCTACATATGTGGTTCCAAATCATTGGTCCTGCAGGTGTTTTGAACTTCAGCTCCTACAATTTTTAACATCTGAGAGTTGGAAGTCCAAAACAACTTGAGGACCAAAGGTTGGGAACCACTGGCCTACACCTTACTACTTCAGTTGATCATCTAGAAATAGAATATAGGCAGACAAAGAAAAAGAGCAGTCAAAGTTACCAAGGAAATGAAAGCACAGTAAACGTAAGAGTTGTAGGGGTAAACCATTTTCAGTACCTTGCTCTTTGCAATGCTAGAAACTTAGAACATAAAGGGAAAATCATTTGAAAGGGCAGTATTTTTTTTTCAGAGCCAGTGCCTTTATTTTGCCCTACTTGTAGCTACACTCTTGATTTTTGTGGAAGTTTAGCTCCTCTGCCCATATAAATTATTTGTTAGGTCTGACACTGGTGCACAAAAAAGGAGATTGCTCAAGTTTCTGAGTATATAAACATGGGAAATCAAAGCAAGAACATAAATTGCCATTGGCTGATTTACAGGTTCCTCTTTTCCAGCATTTTCTTTCATCCCTAGATGTTTTGCTGACATCTCTATCTGATCAGTCATGCCAATAAAGGGACAATCTGATCCCCAGTGATGTTATCCAGGTTTCTCCTCTCTGACACTTTTTTGGGAGATGCTTTATTAAGGGTTACTATTGAGGAATCCATTATCCCCTGCCAACTTCCCATAAGCACAAGCAAGCTATGGTGATTGTCTGATTTTTTTTTTCTATCCAACTAGGGAAGATTGAATCTTTCCTCTCTCTTTTTTTTTTTTTTTTTTTTTTTGCAGCATGTACCAAAATAGCCTCATCTTTTCAGCATTGGCTACATCAGCCACTAAAAACCATTTCTATATCCAGGTCATCTCCCTTGTAGACAATGTTAATTCATTCCTTCTGAGATTTAGCTTCCATTTGCTCCCAACCCAGACTAGTTGAATAAAGTTGTCTTCTATCAGTCTGACCTTTTCATCTGCCAGCTTTCTGTCTCTGCCTGAATCAATACAGCATCCTACCACATTGACTCCCATATTTCCTCTTAAGGTTCTCCAACATACTACATTAACTTTATCCACACAATCCTCCTCATTGACTCCCCTCCCCTCACCCTCATTTCTTCACAAGCATAGGCACCCTTTCCTTGTCCTGTTTAATATTCATACTTTCTTTTGTTACAACTTGTTTTGCTTCCTTGTGCAGTCTCCCTTTATCAGTCAAGCCATACCCTTCCTCTCTCTCTCTTTTTCATATATATATATATATATATATATATATATATATATATAAACATTTCCTTCACACATCATAGACTTTCCTATTCCAGACTGCATTTTCTCTGCTTACCATTTAATACTCTACTCACTTTTTTATTCATTTATCAAACTTTAGCATCGATTTCACCCCCACTGCCCACCCAAATTTATTGCAAGTCTGTCTAAAAACTGGAGCATACGATTAAGTGTGTGCTTGAGTTTTCCTTTGAAATCAATGGTGCTTAAAGCACTTCACTCTGGTGCAATTGGACCCTGGTCAGCATCCTTTTCTGCCCTGGTTTTTCCCTATATAACTTTATAGTCCGCAATACTGCTCAAAACACAACAAGCCACTCAGAAGACAAGGATCACCTCCCTCACAAGTTTGGATGTTTCTGAAATTTAGGATGATGTGGAGCAAATTGATAGAGAGACATTTTTCCTTTCTCTCACACAGTACTAAAATATGGAATGATCTAATGAAAACTGAATTGTGGAAGTTTCAGGACAAAGAGAAAAAGTTGCACTAATTGATATAGCATATGAATAATGTCAGGAAAGTTGAGATAAATCTCCCGTTATCTCAGCTGCTTCGACCTTGCCAGGAACTTCTTGAAGGCATGAAGTTGAAAAACCAATGGACTCATCAATTCAGTTTTCAACAAAAGTGGCACTATAGCATTATTTACAAAATATGTACACCACATTCTCTGGTTATGTCTGTTCACAACTTAGCACACTGCACGGAGCACGTTGCAACCTTCTTTTCCGATTTGCACAGGAAACACAAAAAGTGGCATTCTACCCATTCTACACATCTCTATTGTTTTAATCCATGCATTTCTGAAACCATACAGTGTAAACTATAGGTGATTTTCACACCAGAAACTAGTATATTCTGACAAATATACTAGTTTCACTGTATGGTTTCAGAAATGGTTTCATACACTGTATGGTTTCAGAAATGCATGGATTTTGCATAGTATGGTTACAGTATTCTATTTTTTTCAAAGTTCAAATGGAGGGAGAAAATTAATGGATAACGCTAATAATAATAATAATAATAATAATAATAATAATAATAATACTTTATTTATATACTGCTCCAAAGTAATTCTGTTTGTTCAAGGCTATTTAAAAATTTAAAATGATTGCCACTACTTCAAGAATGAGAAGCAGTATGTCTCTGAACATTAATTGAACATTAATTGTTGGGGAATTCCCATAGAAGGATAGGGCTCTTGCATTTCTGGCCAGATTTTGGGATCTTTCAAAAGTGGCTGCCCACTTTTGAAAATGTGTTATCTGATTAGCCTGACATTTGGCTCTCAGTATATATATTCTTTTTTTTTGTCATGTCAGGAACTACCTGAGAAACTGCAAGTTGCTCCTGTTGTGAGAGAATTGGCCGTCTGCAAGGACATTGCCCAGGGGATGCCCGGATGATTTGATGTTTTATCATCCTTGTTGGAGGCTTCTCTCATGTCCCCGCATGAGGAGCTGGAGCTGATAGAGGGAGCTCATCCGCCTCTCCCCGGATTCGAACCTGTGACCTGTCAGTCTTCAGTCCTACCGGCACAGGGCTTTAACCCACTGCTTCACTGGGGGCTCCTATATATTCTTAAATATAGAAAATACACTCATGAAGGTGTTTGGGTATCATGTGCAACAGTCTCATTTACATTTTTCTGCACATCCATCAAAATGTGTGGATAGAACAAACATATGCAAACTTGTGCACGTTATCCTTGGAAGCAGTACTTTAAATTTACCGGTATTAAACTGCAGATACAAATTCTACATGGATAAAAACTTTTACATGTGGAAAATCAATTCAAAAATTCTGACAAAGCACCAATGACTGGATGCTTTGGGTGTATTCTTGAGTCCGCACTCCTCAAATGTTCATTTCACAACATTAAGTTTTTTTAAAAAGATATAGAGCATAAATATTTGTACAATAAGAATAAAAAACAATACACAAACCAATTACACTGTGACAGAATAGATTTGCTTCCTATGCAGTAAATAAGTAAACATCAATAGGGTATGGTAGCATAAAAGATCTGCCTCTTCAGATGTGGATTATTAGGTTCCAAGAAACAACAGAGAATTTTGGATCTTACCAATTTGTCCTTGAAGAATATCAGCTCTGTTCACACCATCCACAAATAAACGGGGGTACCTCATTATGTCCTTAAAAAGAGAGAAATGATGTAATTAAGCTGTGGTTATGGCTTTTATCAACTTTAGTTAGACTATGTATTAGATATGTGTTAGTAGAATAATCATTTTTTCTTTTCTTGTTTTCTTTTCCTTCCCTCTCCTATATTTTTGAATATATATTATTTTGTGGTAATAAAGACTGCTAGTGTTAAATAAAAAACAGGTAGAAGACAAATTAAAAGAGAGAGAGAGAGAAACATATGAATTGCCATCATTTTATGGCAGCATCCCTATATTATTTTGAATGAACTAGTTTTTTTACACCTCAACAAAGGCCTTGTCTATGTCAGCTAAAAAACCTGACATTTCCCAGAAGTCTACATGTCATCCAGGGACTTAGTCTTTAGTATAAGATAAACCAGGTTGAACAGATTTAGCTTCATAGTAAGATGAAATTGGGGAATGCACTTTGGCCAGAGTGTGGACAGCACAACAGTATCCAATGTGGACCAGGCCATTTTCCACAGAGAGCTCTGCCACCATCCCCCTTTCCTTGCATTCAGCTGTGCAGGGAATTTGAACCAGGTTGTTCCCATTGCCACTGCCAGATAGCTACACAGCTTGGAAAGAGGTCTTGACCACTGCCAACAACCAGTGCTCACATTAGGAAAGCTGCCTGTGTGACCACAGAAAAGGAGGGATGACTCTGAACTTAGGACATTTTTAACTAACCCATTACTGGGACAGTTTGCCTTGTCCATCTTGGCTAGTAAGAGTTCCGCTCTAAATTATTCTCTTCTACTGTAACCTGTTTTCTCAATTTAAAGGTATCATTTCATTTCTGAGTTAAAGTGCTGATTTTCATTTCTAAAGCCTACAATGGCTTAGGATCTTGTTTGCTCATAGATGATCTTCTGCCCTGCAGGTTACTTTCAGTATCTAAAACTTTGCTCCACCTTTCCAAACCATGCACTCCGCAGTAAGCAGTGATGAGAAACAATTCCTTCACAGTAGTGCGAAGACTCACCATCTTGATGAAATCTATAATTGGGAGTGGGCAAAAGTGGGGTTTTTTTTTACTTTCCCATGGTCATTCTCAAAAAAGAAAAACATTTCAAGTTTTTTCTATTGAATTTATGAAGAAATCTGTGAATGTTGTGTATCAATATTAAAAAATAAACAAAATGAATCCTGAAGTCTAGTGCAGTGGCAAAATTCAATAGTATATTTATTTGTATTGTCAAAGGCTTTCATGGCCGGAATCACTCAGTTCTTGTGGGTTTTTTCGGGCTATATGGCCATGTTCTAGAGGCATTTCTCCTGACGTTTCGCCTGCATCTATGGCAAGCCTCCTCAGAGGTGAGGTCCTCACCTCTGAGGAGGCTTGCCATAGATGCAGGCGAAACATCAGGAGAAATGCCTCTAGAACATGGCCATATAGCCCGAAAAAACCCACAAGAACTGAGTATATTTAGTTGTTTGTTTGTTTGTTTACTTCACTTGTATACCGCTCTTCTCAGCCCTTAGGTGACTCAGAGCAGTTATTTAGTCCCTACATTGAAAAGCCCATGCCATACTTACTCATCTTGCTGTCAAAGATGAGTCTGTTAGACAAAAAGAGGTGGCAATCCTAACACATCATAAAGATGGCTGAATACAAAATAACTGAAATCAAGATTCTTATGATACAGACACTCAAACCACTCTGACAGAATCTATCAGTTTCCTCTCTCCTATAGTGTTTTTTTTTCCTTTTAAAAAACTTCAAAGTATTTTCTCTCACATTTACAAACACATATGTAAATATTGTGGTATCCTTTTCTAAAAAATGAACCAGTTGAAATTGTCTTTCACTGTTGTCCATCATTCAAGCTCCGACACTGCATTTCTTCTGTGTCTGTGTGAGTGCAACTTATGGCATAACCCCATGAATTTCATAGCATAGCAAGGGATACTCAGAGGTGGTTTCTGCCAGTTCCATCCTCTGAAATATAGCCTACAGCAGCTACTGGAACTCTCCCATTCAAGACCAGGGATTAGCCTGTATCACTATTTAAAACTTTTTTTTTAGAAAAGAAAAAGTTTAGTCTTTTCTCCTTTGTTTTGTCTGCTATGATTATCATTCTTCCTTTTTAAATTGCTGATTTATGAGCTGCTGCTTTTATTTACTTGATTTCTGGGCTTAGCATGCTAAACGCTATTATGATGTTTCCAATAATTATTCTTTTCATGCACTGCTGATTTATATATTTTGTATAGCAAGGATTGCTGTGATCAGCCTAGAGTTCTTTTCTGAAATAGGTGGGGTGTGTGTTTGCACATCAAACACACACATATACATACATACTCTCTCTCACACACAAATATTAGCCGAGGGGCATTCAAAACACATCAGTACATTCGGTGATTAGTTTCTGTGTGTATTTTTTTCACCTGTTGACATTTTCTTTTGACCAGAAGTTTGATTGATAACACATTTTCATTCTTCATACTGATTTATTTATTTACTTCATTTATGATGTTGAAAGACACTTTTAATGCTAAGAAGACAGCTAGATTGGGATATGGTGGCAAGGCCTGAGTTGAACCAATACACCCATTTTGTAAATATAGTTATCAGTGAGGTGTATAATCCAGGGTAATGCAATGTGCTTGTGTTTGTTTGCCTTGGGCCATAACTTCTTCTTTTTTCCTCTTGGCATGTAATCCAGTTAAGGGGAATGATGCTGGAATTGAGAATCTGACCATTCTACATTCTCTTTGGAGGTTCAGCATTGGATTTCGTCAGAAAATTGAGCACTCTGTGTGCTGTAAAATCTGAGTTTCTTATAACTGAAGAAGACTGTAAGGGTTAGCCAGATGAGCCCTTTTACCTAAGGTAGGAAATTCTTTCTTTGCAGTATCCGTGGCAAAGCCAGCCTTGTTTCCAACACCACTCCCTTAAAAAAGCAAGATAAAGGCAATCTTTTTTTTTTGGGGGGGGGGGGCATTTTCCAGATCTTATGTAGGATTAGTTCTCCTGTCAGATTGTCTTTAGGTGGGCTGTACATCACACTTAAAGTCTGATTCTGATGGTGGTCTTGTATAACCATACTGGTACCGATGGCAGTGGCAGTACTGCACAACAGCAGAGATAAAATGAGTACAAATGATAGGGGAAGGAAGATGGCACAGAAAGTCAAAAGGCAATGGTAGGTTTCTTGAAAAATAAATGTGAGCTTTTCTTCTTTCACTGTAGTTCAGCACTCACTAACATGCCTGAGAATTGGTCCCCCATATCCACGGATTCTACATCCATGAATTCAATCAATCACAGCTTGAAAATATTTGTAAAAAAATCAAAAAGTTAAATTTAATTTTGCATTTCATACAGATGGTGCAATTTTACTACATTGTTGTATATAATGAGTCCTTAGTATCCACAGATTTCAGATCCAGGGGGATCCTGGAACCAAACCCCAGTGGATACCAAGGACCCACTGTACACTCTTTTATGCCACTGTAAACCACAAAATTTCAGTCCCTAATTCAACATACAACTTTTAGGCTTGGCAGTTGACCCAATCAGGTTGCCAACCACATGGTTCTGTTCTTTCATTTTAGCAGAGAGGAAGCAGACTTCAAAATAATTTAAATTGTAAAAATTGATGTAATTAATTGTTAATAGATTTTAAAACAACAGTATAAATACTGGGACATGTGCATGAACAACAAATGGTTCTTGAGTTTTCATGCTGAGTGAAAGAGAAGCATGAAAAAAATCATTTACAGCTGAGTTATTACACTGGATAGTGGGAGATTCCAAAGAAAACTGAAAACTAAATACAAATTAGAAGGAGAACAGATGGAGATGCAATAGTAGTGGATAGTTGCAGAGAGATGGTGTTGGTCACTCAAGGTGCATCTACAATGTTGAATTAATGCAGTTTGACACCATTTTAAATGCCATAGCTCAATGCCATGGAATCATGGAGGTGGTAGTTTGGTGAGGCACCAGCATTTTGACAGAGAGGGCTTCATCATACTACAACTCCAAGGATTTCATAGCATTGATCAGGGTAATGTAAGCAGTATCAAACTGCGTTCATTCTACCTTGTAGACACATCTGCAGAAGCAGTGGTTAAGATGGGGAAAGCCCAGGATTCACTTTGAGGAAAGCCAAATGGTCTCTGTGTTCAGTGTCCAATTCTACAATATTAACACACACAAAAGCCTAAGAAAGCAAGTCAACAACATCAAGGAAACAGAAAGGTTGTACACTACAAGAAAAATAACTGAAAGAAAGATTGGTTTAGGTGGGAAGGAAAGGAATAATGAAATGAATTGAATCAGGAGTTAGGAAGGAAGAAGAAAAATATTTGATTAGAGAAGGGAAAGCCAGTTACTCCAAGTCACAAGCACGAGATAACTTCATCACTCCTGACTAACGCCCCCTTTGTCTACACACTGAATACAAAAAGAACAAGGAACGTGGGAAGAACACTGGTTTTATTTTATGAAGCTCACAATCTCTTCTCTCAAACTGCAGTGACAGGGTGCTCAGGACAAAACTTCCAATGATTAAAAAGCAGACCTATCAGTCAATCAATCTGTCTTCCTTTCTCCTTTTCCATTTTCCCTGTCATCATTTTCAGAGTAATGAAACTCAAAAGACAGTAACATTCAACACAGAAAGTTGACCTTTTAAAAAAGTCCAAATCTCTAACAAGGACACATGAAAGTTTGGAGAAAACATCACCCCAGGAACCCCTAAAACAGGTCCAAAGGGAACACTTTGCTTCACCAGTATCTAATGTACACCCAACTCTTTACCATTAGGATTTCCTTCACCTAATTCAAAACATTCAGCCCAAATTCATGTAACTATGATATAAGGAACATGCAAATGGGGGTTGACAGGTAGCAATATTTCAGTATTAATACTTGCTTTTTAAAGGCACAGTATATTTTGTTCCTTAGAGATCAGCATAATGGGATACTATGTATCTACCACCCCAGGCCTGCTTTTGAGATTTTTCTGCCTGGCAAATGAAGAATAAATGGAGAACTATTCTGTGCTATTCAGTTATTCTGTGCTCAAAAAGATACTTTTCTCACATCAGAAGAAGCATTTGTTTTCTCTCTTCAATACTATCAAGTCAAGACTTGATGTGTTTTTATGGAGGTCACAGTGGGGGTTTAAGCCCTACAGTCCTACTCGCTCAATATTCTTGAAGCAAAAGTACCAATTGTTTGCTTGCATTCAGTCAGCTGTAATGAAATGGAAACAACATTTCCTCCCTGCAACTGTTTCCAAAGAAAAGGTGTCATTACTAATTCAGTTGACTGAATTACATGTAGATTTCGGCAGCAATTGATGTCTAGAAAGGTGACATTGCATTATGTTAGGCGACCATTTGCTCCAGTTCAGCGGCTAAAGTACAAGACCTTTTGAAAGGTCACGACTCATTACAATGAAGTCAGGATTTCTTTCTTACGGCTTGTCAGAGAAAGAAGAAACCTTCCCATAGGCTGGATTGTCAGGAAATCTCTTGTGATTTTGCTAACCTTTTCAATGATGCACTACAAACTTGATTCAGGCAGCTAATGAATGTTTGGGTTCCCTTCCTTTTTTGTCTGACATAGTACATTTTTGATTCTCAGACATATGAATGATTTGGGCGATGCTGCTAGGTTAGTCCATAGGGAACGTGATTGCCCCAGGCCAAATGCCAAAGAAAAAGAGACAGAAAGGTCATGCTCCTTTAAGAACCAATCTGATAGGTACTACAGAAAGGCTCTTCCTTTTTGGGGAGTCCTGACAGACAAGTAAGGATTTTACTACCCTCACTGAACAGCCCCCCCCACTGTTTTCTTGGTAATACTTTCAGTGTATCTTTTAAAAAAAACATTTAGTTGGTTTCCGCTTGCTCATTCTGACCTGTAGCTTTCCTTATGCTGTTCCAACAAGCTTGGGCTATGCATCTATACTCCTCTTTGGTTATCCTTCCTTCCTTCATTTCTTCTTCCCTTCCTTCCTTCCTTCCTTCCTTCCTTCCTTCCTTCCACTATTTGCTTTTTGTGTATTCCTTTGGTCTGTTAGGCAGCCATATTGTGATTTTCAGATGTTTCTCATTTTTCTTCCTCAACTGAATTGAGATTGTGCTCTTTGTAACTCCTTCTGCAAAGGCAATAGTTCTTAAAGACCCAGTGGTTTGAGCATTGGACTATGACTCTGGAGACTGGATTCAAATCCCAATTTGGCTATATAAATTCACTGATTGACCTGAGGTCAGTAATACTTTCTCTATCTGATGAAGAAGAGAGAAGGAACTAAGTATTAGAGTGTTAATTATGCCAAAGTGCCTGCCCAGCACATCCAGAGCTGTCCTATGCCTTTCATGTGAAAAGTAAGGTTCTCATGAACATCAAATGAGTGTGAGTACCATTCTCTCTTCACCTCAGGGAGCAAAATGCTTTCAGCTTTTGTGTGTGTGTGTGTGTGTGTGTGTGTGTGTGTTAGGAGCCACTTGAGAAACTGAAAGTTTCTTCTGGTGTGTGAGAATTGGCCGTCTGCAAGGACGTTACCCAGGGGACACCCAAATGTTTTGATATTTTACCATCCTTGTGGGAGGCTGACAGAGGGAGCTAATCCATGCTCTCCCCAGATTTGAACCTGCAACCTGTTGGTCTTCAGTCCTGCTGGCACAAGGGTTTAACCCACTGCGCCACTGGGGGCTCCCAGTGACCCTGGTTTTTAACAGCAGCTTGGGTGCACCTACATTGTAGAATTAGTGTAGTTTGACACCACTTTAACTGCTGTGACTCAATGCTAAGAAATCCTAGGATTTATAGTTTGATGAGGCACCAGAACTCATTGGCAGGGAAGACTAAAGATCTTGTAAAACCATAGCTCCCTTGATTTCATAGGACTGCGACATTTAAATTGGTGTCAGGCTGCACCAATTTTACAGTGGAGATGTAACCCTGATCTACAAATTTCAGCATGGTATAAAGTTCAGCATGAGCAGCTTGATCTATCTATCCTATAGATAGATCAAGCTGCTCATGGAAAAGCATAGGAGCTGGGAATTTAAAAAGCTAACAACCCCTCCTTACTCTAGCTCTCCATTAACAAACCACTCAGAATACTTAGAGGCCCAGAGAGTTTCCTGGAAGGAACTGACTAGCTTTTAAAGTTGCATTTATACCCTTCCAACAAAAGCCAGACTTCCAGAGAATGACTAGCACGAGGTGACCAAAAGAATGTTATTTATTTATTTATTTATTTTACCTTACTTATATACCGCTGTTCTCAGCCCGAAGGCGACTCACAGCGGTTCACAACAAATACGAACAGCAAAAATTCAGTGCTACAGTATAGAAACAGTTAACAACCTAACACATTACACAATTAATAAACAGTTACTACAATACCCATTCACTGTCGTCTCGTCATCAAAAACATGTTCCAGATTCGTCATCCATTGTTCCATTCCAGTGTTCATTAACCAATCATTGCACTAATTATTCGAACGCCTGCTCAAACAGCCAGGTCTTCACTTTTTTGCGGAATACCATTAGAGATGGTGCTAGTCTAATGTCCGTAGGAAGGGCGTTCCACAGCCGAGGAGCCACCACCCAGTTAAGGCCAGGTGGAAACTAAGACCTGAATTTCTCAAGTTCTAACCCAACACTAATAATTGTTCCACAGACCAGATTGTGACTACATAGGGCTCCATAAAATGAGCAAACCTTCTTTAAGAGGAGGGAGAGGAGGGGGGAAAGAGAATGGGTTGTACACAGAAAAATACATCCAGTGATTTGCACCCAGTGGGGAAGGGCATGCATGTTAGGATTAAGAAGGGTGTCAAAAATGACAGTTTTTATACTTCAGCCCTGTTCCCCCTGAGGGACTCCTGTTATCAAATTGGCTCACTTTACAAGTCAAAACAAGTTGTTTCTAGCTGTCACTGCTGCCTGACATCTGCAAATCAAGCTGTGTTCTCTCTGCTTTATGCATTACCATCAGCTATAAAGATCCCAGACTCTGAACGTAATTGCCAATTCTCTTGTTGATGCATGAGATAAAATTGAAGCCCGTTTCACATCTCAACCGCTATATTGGAAGTTGGAACAGTGACAGGAAGGGGAAGAAGTTATCTGTCACTTAAATAACCAGATACAGCATGACTCAGAAGACACAAAACAAGAGGAGACATCTTGGATTGTAGGTGCTGTTTTCTTTACCACCACACTAAGCAAAACTTTGGCTACAAAAAATGAAGAGGCCATTGAGAAAAACTGCAAGGCTACACTGCTATTCTTATAAATAGTGAGCTAATTTAATCACTTATCGACGCTTGCACTTAAAATTGATTTCAGGGTCTTATTAAGTAGTATAGATTTACATTTCTAATTGTTTTATAGAGTCATTTGCATTCAGACTCAGGATGTCATCACACTTACATTTTTTAGTGTCTTAGGTTGCTAAAGGGGCAGTCCAGTGATGGATGGGCACACTGGTGGCCATCACACGATGTTGCTGGACTTCCTATTGAAGCCCCACCCCCAACAGAAGAGGAAGCATAATAGAATATGTCCCTCCTAACACAGGATGGAACCAGCACACTTCAGCAATGCTTCAGCTACGCTCCCCCATGTAATGGGGCTCTTGGTTCAAACTAGACATTTATTTCATCTCTCCTAATCAGCCAAATTCAGTGTGTGGTTTAGCTGAATTTAGGGCACATTCCTAGTGATAAGTTCAGCTTTGGCTTAGAGGTCTCATCACATGGGGCATTTGAAGGATCCTACAACACTTCTGCCCCGGTTTGCCCATGGAGTCCCACATCACCCATCAAATAACATATAGTGACTTCCAATGGGGCTCCATGGATGAACTGGCATGGCAACATGGTGGGATGCTCCTGCCACCACCAATACAGAGGCTGCCCCATGTTCCATAAGGAATAATGGGGCTTTGGCACAGTGGCAAAGCTTCCCCATATGGAATGGGGAAATGTTATATCTGGCAGCCAGGGTGCTAGGATTGTCCCACTGCCACTCTTATTCTGTCATGATTCATCACAGAGACTGGCAAATCACAGCACTGGACCTCATCCATGTGATGAGGTCCTAGGCATACATTAGAATTTCTTACCCTATATTTCCATGGATGTCCATAAAAGTTGGGTCAGTTTATCCATGTATCAATGTAAGCTCTGTACCTTAATTCTTTAAAAATCTTCTTCTCTGAACAAATGGCATCATTAATCCATCCTGGGAGAACCTAAAAGGAGTACCAACCTGACCTATGCTCTCCACCATATCACCACTTCTGGCCTTTTTGAATGCCTTAGTGGGAAACGTGGCAGTGGCAGCCAGAAATGGCCACCTGGGTTAGTATCAGTGCTTTTCCTTCTCCGTGGAATAACCCTCGACATGCACAGGTTGTATAAGAATCCATAATTTTGGCCTCAAAACTTGACCTTGACTTATACATAAGATTGAGTATATGCAGTAGTTCTGCTCAGGTTGAACAAGTGCTCAGGTATCATAGCAATAATGAACCCTATTGTACAACTATCTGCATCTTTTGTGTATGTTGCCTGGACAGTTGATCTTAGGGCAGATTGCAAACTGAGCAAGTAAGCTTCCCTCACACCATTAACCACACCCAAGGGATGTAGAAGACTTAAGAATTACTCACAATTGGTCTCAGCCACTTTATTCGGTGCAGTTTGTCTTCTGGGAGGACTTTAGGTCCAATAGAACTGTAATGTGCAGGGAATGTATCATCTTCAAAAAGTATGCCATGCTTCATGCAATAGTCTCTCAAGTGAACAAAGTCCTGGTTCTCAAATTTCCGAGGAAAAGACAGGCTTCCAATTTTCTCTGACTTTTGCTCAAATGTATTTTGATACAGGTTAGAAGGCAGGTTCCAGTCCTGTTCCTGTAAGAAAGGCAATGGTGAAGAAGATCATTAATTATCAAGTCTGAAGTATCAAGCACGCCAGTACAGTCGCCATTTTCATAGCTCTAAAAAGCAAGACATTTGCACACACTAATGTCTTTGAAAATACATATCCAGAAATAATTGGTTTTATTTAAATAGAAATACAAAAAAACCACATCATAGTGGTGAAGACTATGACAGATAGATGATCTGCATGCCTATTTAATGTGCCATCCTGCAGTTAACTGTTGATGAGCAACTTCAAGGCCCCTTCTTGCTTTTCTTTTGCTTCCTTATTAAAAGCCAGACCTGGAACATATAGGTCTTCAAACATAGGACACCTTCAAATAGATGACTTTTCTCTGCCTGCAGGTAGGGAGTCTCATTATCTGAAAACTTTTAAAAAGCATGATGGCATGTTATTCCAAAATTCAACTAATTCTACCATTATTTGATATGCACTTTTAATTCTTCCCAGAGGAGATGAAGACCAAAGTATTACAGAACTACTGAGCTGCTCTTCAGCCTTGCTGTCTCATTAAAATCATATGTGGTTCTGTTCTCCCCTTTATTATAAAGCCCAACAAAAAAATTCTTGGTGTCTTGGTTTTTAGGCCTGTTCCTGGGATTATTAGTGGTGTTGATTCAGAAAATTGCATTGGACAGACTGCATCAGGTCAAAGTGGAGTCCACGACATGCAAGTGTGGAGAACAGCAAACCAAAGACCACCTACTACAATGAAACCTGAGCCCTTCCACATGTACAATGGAGGATCTCCTTATGGCAACACCAGAAGCACTCCAAGTGGCCAGTTACTGGTCAAAGACATTTAGCATAATGCCAAGTTTTTAAACTTTGTGTTTTTTAAAAAATACATTACAACTGTACCCTTGGTTCACTCCTGATACAGTAAATAAATAAATCTTTGAGACAGTTATCATAATTTTTGTGGACAAGTAGATGAAGAGTGGTTTATGTTCTGTGTTCCAAAAAAAAGAGCTGATGGGGAAAACTGGTGCCATTTTGGAATCAGTGGGTAGATATACCAAGAAACATTTGAGGCACCGAAATAATTACAATTCTTTCCAACTGAAAAGCACATTCTGTTAATTCTAATTTCAGTCACTACCAAATAACCAAAATTAAAAATGGATAGCTGTTAAAAAGTATACTTGAGACTTATGGGTATCATTCAGTTTCTGATTCGTTCCTCCCATTTTATAAACATCTTGATATCTGAGGCTGGATCTATACTACCGCATAATCCAGTTTCAGAATGCAGATGAACTGCATTGAACTGGCTTATGGGCTTCATCAGACAGGGCAATTTAAGCATCCTATGATGCTTCCACCATGTTTTGGGGATGGAGCTCTATGCCAGCCATCATACAATGTTGTGTGACTTCCAGCAGAGCCCCACTCCAAATGGGCTAGAAGCATCCTCGGATGCTTCCATCCCAACACAGGAGTATGTCTGTGTTGTGCTGGCTCCAACGGAACCAGCACGGGTCCTCATTGGGAGGGTGGCACTTCCCCCATGTGATTTGCCTGGCCTTTGTGATGAGGCTGTCAAGTCTACACTGCTATGTAATCCAGTTCAATGTAGTTAATCTGTGTTCAGAAGATGGCAGTATAGATTTAGCCATGCTCTTTAAATTTCAACTCTCAACTCCACAATAATTAGGGATTCTGGAAGCTGAAATCCAAACAGTTAGCAGATTAACATTCGATAAATCCTCATTTAAAACTATACCATAACTTCAATCAGTAAACTCAAGAGATTCTGTATAAATATACTGATGCATCCATGGAGTCCCTTGGTGTCTTAGATATGTTCATGGTTCCTTTTAGTAATGTTAAGAAATTTCACTAAATTATTCACTCTTGCTGTGACTGGATATCTCAGCATGCTAGGACAGCTTGTTCAGAGCTGGATAAGACATATGAGACATCTTACCCCTCACCACATATGAGACTTTCCCCTCACCACATTTTCTGCACTTTGTGAAAAAGTAGTATCTTTTCCCTTTGGAAGTAAAGGGTTCTTCACAGCATACTTTGAAGATCACTTATCACAGCATTTCTAGTGAAATGGAGCCAACCTAGAATATGGATTATTAAACTACTAGTCCTGCAGCTTGTGCTTTAAAAATAACTGTATCCTGCAAGCACTCCAGTATACACGGTTTAATTAAGAGAGGTTCTTTCTTTTTTTAAAAGGGAGTCAGATGAAATTCAGAAATAACCTTCGACTGACACAGAGAGCAAACATTCTTTTTCAGTTTCCATTTCTTGTATAATGGAAATAAATCTTATGTAATGTAGCATAACATGACAAAAGAATGGTTTTCCCTTAACAAATACTCATTTGCAACAGTGCTCAAACCCACTGCATGCAAAGATCTATTTCCTGCAACAGTGTTCCAGCAAAACTGATTACTAATTCCACAACTCAAATTAAAACTAACAGAGCTTGAAGGCTGGGACTGACACATTCGTTCATTCTTTGTTCTCTCTCTCTCTCTCTCTCTCTCTCTCCCTCTCTCTCTGCTGATGGAGAACAGCAAGAGTTTTTCCTCGTGTGAGCGTATGTGTTTAATTACATTGTTTAACACAGTGGGAATAATTTAGCAAGTGGAGTGAAGAAAATAAGGCACTTAGCTATCCTTGATTCTGCAGAACAGCCTTGTCAGCTTCACAAAGATGGTGTTAAGGTTTGGAGACGGACAAATAAAGAAGCGGTTATTTTGCATGATTTAAAATTTGCTGCCAGGAAGAAAGATATGCATCACAAAGTATGTGTTCAAACATCATGTCTCTTATGATGCTTTCATGTTATAAGATAAGGAGCTGCCTAATGTTATTGCCATCTAGCTTAGTAACTAACATAAGAAAACCCTTGTTGGGTCAGAAGGAAGGCCAGTATAGTCTAGCATCCTGCTTTTTACACTGGCCAAATAGGTGCCTCTGGGAGGCACAAAACTAGGATTTAAGACGTCTGTAGCCATCCAGAGTTTGTAGCCATCCAGAGTCACTAGTGCCACAGTACCTGGATGCATTACCTCAGCTGGGACATGACACACTAGGATTTAAGCACAAGGGCATCATCTCACACATTTTACCTACCATTGAACCTTGAAGACAAGTATTGCCTGAGAAGATGCTTAGAAAATACTAGAAGCATTTTGAAGAAGGGTCGTTATATCCATATTGGACATAAAAGCTTAAGAACCAGTGGTGATAAGAAGAAATATGGGACCAGAACTGGAAAGCACCATGCATAAAACAATAGAGAACCTGGATTTCAAATTGCCAGAGGTCATTTGGGCAGGAACTCTTGAAAATGGAACAAAAACTTCAGTCATGGTCCTAGCTTTGCAATAGATCTTGACCTTGTCTGAAAGAGCTCCACTATTAATTAATGTGTGGTTGGCGGCCTTGGCCTTTGTAAGCCGCATCGAGTCCTTCGGGAGATTTTGCGGGATATTAATAAAGATAATAATAATAATAATAATAATAATAGTATTATTGCATTGTTGTTATTTTATTTAAATTTATGTTATTTAGTGTTGATCATCGATTTAGGCAAACTTTTGTTGTATATTATGTGTTCTCTATTAAACTTTTGTCACCATGTAAGCCGCCTCAAGTCCCTTCCGGAAGATGATGGCGTGGTACAAATAAAATTATAATTATAATTATAATTTGAAACACAACAAATGAGTCCACAGCAGGCATTGGATCACACGTTGGACACTTCCTAAGTGTCTAGGACTGTGTGATGTATTGGTAAATAATGTGTGCAGATCCCAGTAAGGTGCCCTTTTGCAGCTGGCAGATGGTAATCTTGTCAGCACCGATTGTGTTTAAGTGCAAGCTAAGGTCTTTAGGCACTGCACCCAGTGTGCCGATCACCACTGGGACCACCTTTACTGGTTTGTGCCAGAGTCTTTGCAGTTCGATCTTTAAATCCTCATATCGTGTCAGCTTTTCCAGTTTTTTCTCGTTAATCCTGCTGTCACCTGGGATTGCAACATCGACAATCCATATTTTGTTTTTTAACACAATCGTGAGGTCAGGAGTATTGTGCTCCAAAACTCTGTCTGTCTGAATCCGGAAGTCCAAGAGTATCTTGACATGTTCATTCTCTGTAACTTTTTCCGGCTTGTGATCCCACCACAAGTCGCAGGCAGATGGTATTTGTGGCACAAGTTCCAATGAATGATCTGAGCAATGGTGTTATGCCTTTGCTTGTAGTCTGTCTGTGCAATCTTCTTGCAGCAGCTGAGGATGTGATCTATTGTTTCATCTGCTTCCTTGCAGAGTCTACACTTGGGATCTGTCGTCGACTTTTCAATTCTGGCTTTGATGGCATTTGTTCTAATGGCTTATTCTTGGGCTGCCAGAATCAAGCCCTCCGTCTCCTTTTTCAAAGTTCCATGTGTGAGCCACAGCCATGTTTTTTCTTTGTCAATTTGGCTCTCAAATTTTCCCAGGAAATGTCCATGAAGAGCCTTCTTTTGCCAGTTTTCTGCTCTGGGTTGTGTTTTTACGGTATTCACTCTTTGTCTTTTGCACTTTAAGCAGCTTACTGCTATTGACTATTATTATTATTATTATTATTATTATTATTATTATTATTATTATTACATACAAACCTGAGGTGTCAACATAGGCAACATATTTAACAACAGTTTTAGGAGAGATGATGAGGGATCAGCCTTGTTTTCTGCTGCCCTGGAAACTAGGAAATGGGTTCAAATTACAGGAAAGGAGATTCCATCTGAACATGAGGAAGAACTTCCTGACTGTAAGAGCTGTTCAACAGTGGAGCTCTCTGCCCCAGAGTGTGATGGAAGCTTTTAAACAGAGGTTGGATGGCCATCTGTCAAGGGTACTTTGTGCTTTTCCTGCCTTGCAGGGGTTGGACTAGGTGGTCCATGTGGTCTCTTCCAACTCTATTATTCTATCATTCTATAATACTATGAAAAAATGA